AACTAATAATATACTAATAATAACTAATAATAAACTTAATAATAAAACTAATACTACAACTCATTCTATAACATTATAAAGCAAATTGTATCTAATTTATTACAGTATTTTGAGTAATGTTTTTTTTGCTATGTTGATAAAAAAAATAAACAGAGATAATATAAAATTTAATATTGTTTTTAAAGAATAAATCTATAGCTACAATATTGCTAAGATATATAAAGCAGTTATAAATATATGATTGAAAGAAGTTGTATATTATAATAGCAGCACTATTTGCTAAACTATCAAAATTAACTCAGAAATATGTAAAAAAATTGTTATTATAAAAAGATTAATTAAATCTGTCTGCTATTTTGATTTTAGTAATATAAACAATACTAATATTGTAATCAAGATAATAATTTTATCAGGTTTCTCTTTTAATAATTGTATTAAAACTACAAATATTATACAGTATATTACAATATTAAAATGTAGATCTCTAATTAGTTAGAAAAATTATAAATAAGAATAATAGTTATAGATATTAAAGATAAAATATATAAACTTGAAGTATTATCAATAGAATCTTGTAATAATAAAAGCAGATTTATAAATAAAGATTTAAATTTTGTATTAAAAATTGTAGATAATAAAATTAGTAATAAATTTGTATTAGTAAAATTGATTATTTTAAGAAAAATAGAAAATATGAAAAAAAATAAATATATTTAATTGTAATTTAAAAAAATGTTATGTAAATCATAGATTGATAAAATATAATAATTTAATAATATATTAGATTCATATAATAAATATATATATGTTTTTGTTTTATTACTATTAACAATATAAATACTATATCAACAAGATGATTAGCATTATTTTGCTATAAATATAAAAAAATTAATAGTTTGTAATCTTCTTAATAAAGAGAGTTGGTAATAAATAAAGAATTTATTATAATATATTTCCAAATCATAGAAGTTAAATAATATTAATAATAATTTGGATAAATATTTTTGTAGATGTAGTTCACTGTTTTAAGCTCAGTTCTTACAGTTGTGAAAAGATCAGCTGATTTATAATACTGCTTAAATTAAAAAACTTAACAATTTTATTGACTATAAAAAATATAAAAATATAAAAATTAATACTACTATTTAATTGATTAATATAATATATATTTTTTTATAAGAATTAATTTAACTATAACTGTGATAATCATCACTAGAATGCTATATCTCAAAAACCTACTAGTTAACACATCTCAGAAGTACTAAGCAAAAATGTTTAGAACCCCAAAAACCTAACCCTAACTAAAATTTGAACCTTTATATATGACCTCTAGCTTTTTCTAAAAATGCATCCTAACCCTAAAAATTAGAGTGGTGATAATCACAACTGATTATTTTAATTTAATTTCTTTTTATAAATTTTTGAAAAAATAGAAAGACTACTATATTAAACAAAAAATTAAATTGATCCAACCTTACTGTAAATCAATTTTAAATTTCTGTTTTTTTAATTAAAATCAAACATCGTGGTAGATAAAAAGAGATATAGATTTAAATTAAATTATAACAAAATAAAATTCAATTCTGATTAATGTGATGTATATAATAAATAAAATCATAAAAGCAATTTATTATGAATTACATATTGAATTAAATAACTATTGAAATATTCTAGTTTGTACAAAATTATCTTGATAAAGTAATTAATATATTCATATTTTAAAGTATTTTATATTACTAAATAGAAGCAATTTCAAATAAGTAATTTTGCAAAAATTTAAAAATTTTACTAATAAAATCAAACATAGAAATAACCTTTTACTTTTAACTCAGATAGTGCTCCTATCGAACCGGATCAGACCAAACTTTTGTTGAGTCTGATTTGATTTTCAAAACAAACTCAAACTTTGATATTTCAAACTTTTAATCAAGTTTGGTCCGGTTTGGTCCGAAGTTTGCAAACTATTTAATAAAATTAAAATTTGGACTTTACGATTGAACCCTAAAGATACCTAATTGTGTATAAATGTAAAAATCGATATTGTACAGAACCATTCTATTATAATGTAATGAAACATCAATATAACATATCTGTAAGGTTACTACTTTAGTATACGCAAAATCCATGTACACGTTAACCATAAAAGATCAACGGATCAAAAAAAAACTTTTGCTTTAGAATTGATGCTTCTAAAACTCCTTTCGGCATAAACCTTTTTAAGCCAAAATACAAGTTTATGTGAAGTTTTTTTCGTAATATTAAGTGATAAATCTCTTAAAATTTTCGTAATTTAATTGGTTAATTATTGTGATTGCAAAATTTGGTTGAGTGAAAAAGGACGCTGGCTTAATGTTTATGGTGATTTTTAATTTTACTATGCACTAAACATTTTTTGACTAATAAGTATATAGCAATTTCTTAAGGTCTACATTTGTTAAAGCTTTAAATAGAACTACTTTAATAAGCCATCAAAACATAAGTTTTGAAAAAAAAAATAAATAAATAAATAAACTTAAATTTTTAATTTATCCTGCAAGTCTTCAATGTTGCTGATTGGCATACCACAAGTGAAGTTCTCACATATATGTACCGATGGAACATTGTCCTCTGCTCCTTTATTTGAGGTATCAGCAAATTCTGTTTGTACTATAGCTTTTACCATTTCATTTTTTTCCAGTAGGAGTTCATTTTCAGGTCTTGCTAAAAGTAAAGTTTTATTAGGAATAAACTGATCACGAATGACCTCAATAAATCGTTGAACAATTTGATTTTGTTCACGTCCAATAACCATTATCTATGAATATGAGCATAATATATGAGATACTAGTTACATGCGCATTAACAATTTAACGCACAAATACCTGTTTAACGCCTTTTATATGTAACATCAAATTTGCAACCATTGCAGACATTGAAAACGGCATCATGTTTAATCTTCCCGCAAAATATTTCAATGTTCGTTCTGCTTTAACGTTGTAATCAGGGTTATTGACGATGTTACTAAGTAATATTAAGTTGCTGACCGAGACAGAATTCGCTGAAGGTTCTGCGCCATCGTGATCTGGTTACACAAAATTGAACGCGTCAATCATACTTTGTAAGAGGGCAATTAACACGAAATAAGGTCGAAAACCTACCATCCTTCAGCCTCAATAAAATATCCCGAGTATCTTCCTTAACATTATAATACCCTCCAGATTTTTCATCATAAAATAATTGATTTTGCTTATCTTGCAATTCAACAGCCCATGCAAGATATGATTCGTTAAAGGAGGATTGGTAAAGGTGCAGTAATCCTGATGTAAAAAGTAAAATCACGACGCAGATAAGGACATATTAAAAGAAATATTAATCTCTTATATTATATGGAATTATGAACAAATATAAATACCTTCAATCAAGTAACTAAAGAAAATCATCTTAAAAAATAGTACAAATCTTGATACTAACAGGAAAGAAACTTCACCTCACCTGTAATCATCAACAAACCCTTCAACATCACCAGCAACTTCTCTAAAGCTTCTTAATAAAATATTCTTCTCAGGAATATACATTTTTTCTTTCAAAAATTTCGCTGCTCCTTCTGCAAGATCCAAAAATTTTTTATCGCGTAGCGCATCATAAGCTTTCACAAGACCAGTAATCATCAAACCTGTAAATATAGATGTAAAAGAGTTAATAACTCGTTATTCACTAAAAAAAAAATGATTTTATAACGGACATACAAACCATTCCATGCTGCCAAAATTTTATCGTCGCGGTGTGGTTTAGGCCTCTTTTCGCAACGATATTTTGAAAGTTTCTTCCGAGATTCTGAAAGAACCTCTTTCAATTGATCTAATGTAATACTGAAATGTTCCGCTGTTTCTTCTAACGTATATCGTTCAATTAAAACGTTCTATCGGGGTGCAAAATCAGCTCTGCTCACATACGCGAAAATAAAATATGTATAAAACCTTTACCTTATGCTTCAATTCTCCCTGGATGTCTTTACTTGGATCAACATTTCCATTTGATTTCACACCGTAATGCCGGCAGAAAATCTCCGAATTCTTATCCCCTAATATTTCTTTGATTTCAGACATTTCCCATACACAAAAAGCACCCTCTATGCAAAAATAAAAATCAATAATGTATTCAATTATCAATATTCGAATGTCCTTTTATAATCATAATTTACATTGGATAGCTCTTAGACAAAAATAACGAAACAAAACCTCACCTAGTTTGTGTTTGGCGCCTTCAGAAGGATAAGAATCGGCATCTTCGGCTGAATAAAAACCACCCTCAGGATCTCTCAGATCCCTTTCGACATATGTTACGATATCATATGCAACCTATAAAATTTAACAACTAAGAACAAGACATGTGAAAACGTTGACTTATGCATTTATCTATACCTCAGCAAAATATTGGTCTTTCGTTATCACATAAACATCGACAAAGCTCATCAGCAATTGCGCCTGATCGTAAAGCTAATGATATTGTAATACAATATGAAATGATTTGAAAAGCGGAATAAATGACTAAAAGCTTAGCAGATTATTAACTTACCATTTTCTCAAAATGAGGGACATGCCAATATCTATCAGTTGAGTAACTAAAAGGAAATGATGCATAAATCGCATGTAACAAAAACTTAGTTGTGCATATTATAAACTTAGTGTTTCTTACCGATGAAATCCATTTCCGACGTGGTCTTTATATATATATATATATATATTTATGTATGATTTACAATTAGATCAAACTCATATTCGATTATTTACACAAATTATAAACATATGAGAGGTGAGTCAATAGAAACCCAAGAAACCAGTTAAAAAAATTCAATGTGCGCATGTGCGCTCCGCACAAAAAGAGTATAAAATTGTGCGCAAAGCGCACATAACTTATTAGCAATAATATATTTTAAATAACGTGCGCTATATAGTTAATAAATTAAAAAAACGCACATTATTTTTTAATAACATGTGCGACATACGAATAAATTTAAAATTATGTGCGCAATGCGCACATAATTTTGATTCTGAATTTCCCTGCAAGAAACCAAACAACTAAACCTTGAACAAAAATAATATTGCTTAATTAAATTTGACAAAAAAATTTTTAAAAAACTTTTCTTCAAAAAATTTGATTGGTTTCTATTGATTCACTCATATTATTCTACCAAACATACCATGGATCCCACCCATAGCAATTTTCTAAATAAGTAAATAAAAAACATTGCCATGTTAGCGAATACGTTTGTACACTTGAGACACACTAAAAAAATAATATATTTGATTATTCACTTTTAATGTGAACTTGACCATTTTCAAACTATTTTCTGCAACTTGTTTACGACTTGTCACGACCCCTTTAAGTTTGTTTAAAAATTGTGCCTCGTTGACACAGTCCTTAAAATCGATACCTAAAGCCGCACCACGGTTACGAATTTCATTGATTGACATTATAGCAAACCTTTCATCTGCTCTGTCAAGATCCGCAGATATATAATAATAGTAACGAAGCAGAAAATGCAATTGGACAGGTGTCGGAAATTTAGGTTCACCTAAAATGTTGATAATAATTATTGTTTAATCATAAAATTAAATGGTATAATTTAACACCATAAGTTCACCATCAAATCCGCCTTGTTCGTCGTCAAAACTCGAATTGAAATGATGATATAATTTTTGTGCTAGTTTCATATTTAGTTCTGTGGACTTCGTAGAACTTTCTCCTTTAGACTATAATTGAATTATAAAGTTCTTTAAGAATTAAATGTGTTTTTATAATAAAATTTAATAAATATAATAACCATAATAACACGCTACATATAATTAGTTCACCAAAAACCCGCTAAACTACTCACTTCTGTATATTCACGAAGCTGTTCAATTGCACTCGTGCCAGCTTTTCTCAAATTGTCAGGTTGCTCTTTCCATCTATGCATTCGTAAAATTTTACGTCATTAGTCAATAACTAATACTAGAAGTAACAATGTGTTATCTTAACTCACAATTCAGCCATTCGCTTGAGCAAGGAAGAAAAACCACTCCTAAAGATCGGATATAAGTATTATTACTAAAACTTAAATTCAAAAACAAAATTAAATATAGTTGAAAATATCTACCTGCCATATTGATCATCTGGAGGAAAATAGGTTCCACCAAACACAGCTGCGAGCAAATAAAAAAAATTACAATACAAATGCACAGAGCATATAGCCATGATTAAAAGAGGTGAATAGTTCTTGAATTTCTGGTATTTTACCACCAATAGTAGCATTCTTTTACATTAAGTCTCTTTAGTACCTCCGTAGAATAAGTTGGATACATATTTATACTTACGATATAATTCAGGCTACAGAGAGCGAATATTTCACATCAATAATCAAATGACTGTATTTTTAAAGTAATTTTTCGTAGCCTAATAATAAAAACTCACAGTTAAGAAGACCGACATTGGCCATCCACCACTTCCAGAAGTAGATTGTACAAAGAGCTAAAAGCATATGAACGTATTTATATTGGGTAAAAAGATATCATACAAAGTAAATGATAATATCTGTCATATCATGTACATACCATGTACATACGATCCACATCAGGTTGAGTCTCTCTGTTGAAACAAGTTATGTAAATATAAAATTGTAGATTGTGGCATTAGTTAATTATTATTGTATTATATTAATTTGTTATATTTGACATACTTATATAGTGGACAGGTGCTGTATTTAATATATCTTTATAACT